ACCTTCCCACATATCACTTCTACAAATGTTAAAATAGCTAGTATGTTCTGAATCTATTTTTCTTGACAGATCAGTTAAAATATCATTTAGAGAGACTGGTTTGGATTCACTACCCTTTTCTTTAGGCTTTTCCAAATCTATTTCTTCTAAGTCAGAGTCTGGGTAGAAGTCAACTTCACTAAAGAACAGGGAACTGTAAAAGGAGTTGATGTCATCACTCTCTGGTTCAACTAATGTGCTTGGACCTTCATCTTTATCTTTTTGTGTTGCACTTGAGTTACTTTCTGAGCCAAAGTCTTCAAATTTGTTGGGTTCAGAATTGGGCTTTTCAGATGTACTGCAATCATAATTTTTCAATAAGTAAAATAATGATTGAGAAATAATCACATTTCAAAACYTGAGCAAGAAGAAATTTATACATCAAGATTACACTGACATGTATAATGCAGCTGTTAATACTTAATAATATATGCTAATGAAATATTCTCCTCTTCAGAAAACATATCTGTGTTCATCAATATTGTCAAAAAACACTCACTATTTAACAGAGAAAAATATCACCCTACAAGTTGGGCATTTGGCACCACAGCCACCTGATGTATTTAACCACTCTGTGAGACAGACATTGTGAAATTTATCATCACAATTTTGTGGAGACACTCCACCATCTTCCATATACTCCAAACAGATAGCACATTCTGAAAGAGATGYAAATTAAAGCACTGGTCAGATCATTATAAWTTAACTKTGCATATATGTGCATTCTCTATAAAAATGGATATATAGAGGATRTTAKATGGKCGCACGGGGATACTTAAATTTTATCTTCGACTGTTCAATAAGATATCTCATGAGTGAGCATAGCATAGTGTATCGATGAGATCTACATGTTAAAAAAATAYTGAATCTAGCTGTGAAAGCTGTCAAAAATGGCTTTCATYTGATTGGCTGAAAAAAGTTGTCACCATGACAATAATGATCTCTTCACATGTGAAAGATATGATATCTTTTCATTGTCAAAGACATTACATTTTCACAACTAGAGAAAACCTGGTCTCATCGATTGGTATATAATAATAACAGATCCGACAGATAAACCATGCAGATAATTATATCTTGGTATAAATAGCACATAATACTCATTGAATCCACATCATTGTCACTAGGTAAAGAAAAAGAAAATCGTGAAACATACCTTTAAATTGGTCAACTTTGTACTAAAAAAAAACATGATAAATGCATTGTTAATTTTAGTCATGCTGATATATTTTTTTAATGTTTACAATACACTTTCGAACAATAGTAAATCAACTGTGGACGGTTGTATGAAAGCGTAGAAAGCACTATAATAATAATCATCATCTATCCAGCTAAAAATCCTTATCCAGCTAACAAAATATCAACTAATAATATTGCTGCACCTTTTTGTGTTCCTTTGTCTTTGTTGTTTTTTTCTCACACTGAGTAATGTCAATGATCTCCTCAATCTGTAACTTCTTCATTTCCTGTGCACTGGGTCTTTGGTTTTCAAGAACTACCTGACATGTGACATAAAAAATAGGAATGTCAAGTGCTACCTTCTTTAAAATTAAAAGTCTTTGTGGTCAAGGTCCTACTGTTAATTTCTGAATTTTCTTATGTAATAGTAAAACACTGTTAAAATTTGTAGGGGATCTGAGATTTTTACACTCCAACAGAAATTTCCTCTGCCAATCCTCCCCCTTGTAGTATACATTAAATGAAAATTACCTACCTCGCTTTCTGTATCCGTATCGCTGTCATCAAAATGAGACATACATTCTTGATAAACTGACTCATTGAACTCAGTTTTCATGCACAAATATAGCACAATCCGCTGGAAGGTTTTGCCCAGTTCTTCCTTAKATTTCTGCAATGTAAAGGTTACCTCGCTTCCAGGCAAATTCTTRACTGCACTTCTGTCTGGGTACAACAACATAAAAGCCTYTKTATACTTGGGTAAATCTTTATTGAATTTGATCATTTTTTCGGCAGCTTTTCTTAAAAGCTCCTCGCATCCAATTCCASAATCAACTTTCAATGGTAGGTTTGACCCTCTAACAGTTTTCAGCTCACCATCACGATACTTTAGTARCCCGATCTGTATGGTCACTTCTGTAATTCTGTCTTTTTTTGGCGCTGACAATTTAGGTTTCTTTACGAAACGAGTGCTTCTTTCTCTTTCCTTCTTTTCTCTGAATTCCTGAAAAGACTGCAGGACCTTAATATTATCAGCACGAACGGAACTGGTGCTAGTCGAAGTCGATGAAGATGGCATATCTTTTATAAGCTTAAGTGCTCGTTTTTGAGGGCCTCCAGAGCTTTCCTCCAGCTTTACTAACGGAATTCCACAAGCATGGCAAAAAGTAGCCGTTCCAATTGAATTTGT